AAGGGGCACAACAGGAGCTCGGAACCATAGTATAATTAACGATCCCTAAACTACACTCGGCGTATAAGACAACATCCTACTTAGGAGCAGAAATTTATGGTGTAAAAAGTCGTTTTATACACCGGAAAATACGGTAGTTTAATAAATTTTTATCTAATATAGTGTATACTATAATGTCTTAGGATATACATGATCAACATTTTTGATATCCTGCGCCAATTACTCAAGTTAACATAAAAAGCAAAAATAATAAATAATTTTAATTAATAATTATCTTTTGATTCAAATATTGTTATTGTTAGGATACCGAATGTTATAAATGAAATTAATTTTCTTAGTCTTTTTTTAACTAGCTTCTTAGCGGTTGTAAATTCCGGCATATGTGAATACCTTACTTTGCTAATTTATAGGTATTCTTTTTTAATTAATCATTATTAGACTCTAATTGCCACCTATTTAAATGCGAGTTATTTATTTAAGAATTTTATGTTTTTCCATCTTTCTGAGTCATGCTTCCTAAAAAAGTTGAAAAGTTGCCTGGGATAACAAATGTAACCGGGAAGTATACAAAGAAAAATTTAAATGATACATATACAAGTAGGCATTAAAAAAATTTATCTACTATTAAGATTTTTATGCATTTAAAGGCAGTGGAAAACAGGATACTATAAAACAGTCTCTTACATCTTCTTCTTCTGGCTCTGCAATTGGCCCTATTACAAAACCTCAGGCAAATGTTACCAGATCCGCTTCGGTTAGTTAAAAATATTTCATAAATTTATAGGAAGAAAAAGTGCAGTTACCTAATTCAAACTTGCCGAATATCGCTGGACATTATGATTCACCTGAGAATCATTTATCTAAACATACTGCATCTACTGGATCATCTCCATCTAGAACTGGCACTAAAAGCATAATTAAAGGAAGGTCCAGTGCATATAGTGGTTTAATCAGCCGAGCAAGGCAAAGTTCTCCTTCTAATGGCTTAAACCATCTTACGCCTATCGATATTTCTTCTCCTTCCTGGCCTTCTTCTCTTTCTTCTGCATCGAGGCAAAATGTGGTTACTCGTATTAGTGCTAGTTCATCCGGTTTGCAGCAAAACTTTCGAAAAAATTTCGATTCAATGAGCCACTTATCACAGGAAAATTCGATTCTTACAGCAAGACCAAGTTACCTTGCCAAACCAACTGGCGTTGTACGTGCTCATCCTTCCATTGCTTTGCAAAAAAAGGAGGATAGATTAAGCATTCAAGAGGAGGCTAAATCATCGAACATTTATGCGTTTTCTGGAAATGGTTCATTTTCTCCCATTAAAGATGCATCTCTATGTCCTGATTTTGGAAATGAAAGCATATCATCAGCTATTGAACAGCCATATAATAATAAAGTTTCTTTGGAAACTTCTGAACCTGCACAAAATTCAAAAGGTCCTACTATTCAAAGACCTTCTGGTATTGTCCGGCCTCATCGCTCGCTTCTTTCATCAGATTTTGGCCACTTACGAGTGCTAGGATCAAGAAGAAGTCATCCACTTCCTTCTCGAACATCTGAATTTGATATTCTTGCTGGGTCTTTTGAAGCTAATAAGAATGATTTATATTCGTCTAATAGTTATAAAAATCGAGTTTGCAAAAGTCCTTCAGATAATAGGCAATTTCAATGTTCCTCCAAAGAAACCTCGGCTCAAGGAGGACACAATATGCTTAAAGCTGAAATTCTATCCCCTAATCAAAACCGGCCTATGACTCCAGCCGACAAGACTCTTCGATTCGCATGCCAGTTAGCTATGCCGGTTAAATCAGAATACACTTCTGTTGTTCCTGATGCTTGTAAAGAGAACTCTAAGGCTGATATGTTACAGCCTGACCCTTTGTTCATGAAGAAGTGGCGTTCTGCTAGCACAAAAGAAGGGCCCGCAAAACTATATTGTGGGCAAAGTTCTTCACAGTTTTTGTCTTCTATTCCTCCAGGTTATATTTATATTAACATATCATTTTTGAATTTGTAGAATATTTTAATGTCGTTGTACCTTTATAATAATTTTCTACTTATTATTGTTACATTATATTATTATATTTGCTATCATTGACTAATAATGATAATAATAATTTATTATTATACTTATTTGCCTTAGCCATGGGACAGGGAATATCTATGATTAATGGGAATAACTACATTATTTAACAATTTAGTTCGTATCATTACTAAAATTAATAAAGCTAGGCTAGTTATTCAGATACGGCCACGTTTTTATCACCTTTGTTTTGGATTTACCAGAACCATGCTCAAATTATTTAAGTACTTATTAAAGTATGTACATAACTCCTGTTCTAGGAATGAGCTTGAGAAAGCGCTCTATTGAACCACGACATTCTGGACCCAAAGTTAGTGTAAATTCTATAGAAGAAACAAACTTGAGGAAGTCACTTCACCAGAATTCCAACCCCGCTAGACCAATGGAAGGTCTCCCTGGCCCAGGCTACACACTGCGAGCACTTGAACATTATGCGTCTGACCTAGTTTTCGGAGAGTTGGTTCTTGGAATGGCTCAGTCAAATCTTGATTCGGAAACTGTTCAACAGACCGCTTTGAACTACTCCACTTTTAATAGACAACTTTTCAGTGGCGTTGATTTTCCGACTTCCTTTAATCGAGAGATCCTGGCTCCAGGTGAGACTGGCGATAATGTTTCAATTTGCGAATTTGAGAATTCTGGAAAAATTTTACCAGCTTCATCGTTAAAGGCAGTAAAACCGATATCCTGCATGCCAGACGAACTTCACAATAGTGTGTTAAACCAAGGGAACGATTTGATGCCTTCGACAGTATCATCCGACGCTCCTGCAGTTCTCAGTGATGCAGACCATTCTATGATGCATTTGGCTTCTCCAACCATTAGATTGCATTCTTCTGGCTGTCCCTTACCAGTACTTGTCGGCATGCCCGCGGTCCAACTCGCCTGGGTTGATCCTATGCTTTATTTAGAGCAACGTCTTGAGCAAATGCTAGAAGCTTCCACCGCCTCTTCGAAACGGGATAGCCTCGAAGAGCCCAAGACAGAGATATATCTCAACGATGAGAATGATGTGACTCATGGACGGTTTCAAACAATGACCAGAAAGGTGCACTCAAATAGAATGAATGCAGGTGGGATCTTTTGCAAAAGCATAAGGCTCTTTTGGAGTCTTACTAGTAAAATATTCTTGAGTCGCTCTTTTCATTGTTTATCATTTACTTATTTTTTACTTAAAGCTTAATCCAAGGCATAAATATCAAAATATGTACTTATACATGATGTCAAAATTATCTTCCATTTAATTATCATTAGTCACAGCATCGAAATAAAAATGTAAGTTACTTGGTGAAATCCTCTATAAACAAATTTTCTATAATCAATCTAAAGCAGGCTCAGTGCTATTTTTTCATATAATTAATAATGATGTGTTGATTAAACGTTGTAAATCATAGAGGTTGTTTGACCTTGTTTTCGCAACTTGGTCATATTGGTAGGAATACTTAGAGGAACACACCTAGTCGGAGTCCATTGTATGCATGATCATATCCTGACTATGACCATGGACGTGGTACATTACCAGACGTTTCGCCGGCATCGTAGTTGTCATTGTCAGTGAGTCTCGTTATTCTTATCACCACACAACAACTTGTCAAAGAGACAAGTCAAGCCGATCCTTTGACCAAACGTATGCTAAACACTTATGGTATCTTCCGTTCTGCCCTGGCCTATCACATTTCCTATAGCCTCCTGTCGCGGCTTCACCGTCACAATTTTTTACTTGCTTAATTAGATGTGGTACGGTGTGCCCTTTAGAGCGGCTTTCATGAGAACCCTCAGCACTCCACGCTGGCCTTCTCATCCCCCTTCATCCTTGTGCTGGGAATATTGATCAGAGACTGCCATATTGTTACGCAGTCCTCATTCCTTAGGTCTTACCACATTCTCTCTCTTGCCCCGTAAGATCCGTCTGCTCTCGCCCTGGTTCATGTATTTTACTCGACCCCTTTCAGCCCATCTGTGCTACTCAAGGCGTTATTAGCCCTTCCCTACGTCTGGGTGACGTAGAGGCTCAAGCCTCTGAGTAAGTCTCATCGTCAAGCTTTTCCTACATGGACCACGTCTCCGGTAGGACCTACTGTCAGCCAACTAACTCCAGTCTCTGCCGCGTCTATCCTGTTTCTATCCCTAATACCAAGTCTATGACTTCCCATGCCATATTCTCTTGTGTGCCAACCCACAAATGTTGTGGTACTGCTTGCTTTGATTAGGCTCAATGTTGAAACACAGCGTTTCTGGATTGGCGAACAAGAGACTGAGGCATAGGAAGTCATAGACTTGGTATTATAGATAGAAAGAGAATAGAAGAAGTGGAAGCTGTAGATAGTTGGCTAACAATAGTCGTGATTCAGGGATCATGTCTATGATCAAACACGTCTTATAAGTCAAATAGCTTTAGTCTTCACCGCGTCTTTCCTGTTTCTTTCTGTAATACCATGTCTATCACTTCCTACGTCCTAGTCTTTTGTGTGCCAACCCACAATTGTCGTGGTTCTACATGTTTTGATTGGGCTCACTGAAGGAGTCTCCTCTTTGCTTCCGATTGGTCCTTTCTCGTCCCCTTGCGATCTCTCTTCCTAAAATATATACTTCTTTTTGCTGATATTACTGTTGCCTGGTCTTCTCCGCGTTTGTTTAGGTAATATGCAAAGCTTTCGCTGATCCTGCCTTCTTCAAGTTTCTTGTTCACTAGATTTCTTTCGGTAACTATTTCGATGGCCTCTTGGATCTTGCGTTCTCGTATTTTCACCACATGCATCCAACCTTTCGGTCGATTTCGTGCCCCATTCGTGCAATGTGTTTTGCTATTTCGGATCTTTTCGTATCCATGTTCGTGCACAGACTTTGATGTTCCTTGATTCGTAGGCCGATTTCTTATCCTGTTTCACTAATATACTTCTGCTCACAGTTGTCGCATTTGATGCAATAAACTCTTGAGCATTCAAGTTGGTCAGTCTTCTCGTGCTGCGTCGGCAGACTGGTGAAAAGTGTTTTCTTCTCCTTTGTTATCACCCTGATATTCAATTTCCTTAGTAACGGTCGCAATTGATGGCTCAACTCTGATGATAGCAGGCAAATCCACTTTTGGTTGTCCTTCTGATTCCTGATCTGATTTTCATAAAATCCAAGTTGAAATCTGCCCTTAATAATCTCTACATTTTTTTCTATAAACACTCTGGGGGGTATCCGATACTAAGGCAAATCCGTGTCAGTTTGTCCAACTCCTCGTCCCAGAACTCATTGTCCGTTAGTCGTAAGCTTCTGATGATCAAACTCCTCAGTATTCCGATCTTCAGCCTGTAGTTATGGTGAGACTGAAAATTAAGGATTATTCACGCATACGAATTCTTACTGTATAGTCTCCTCATGAGTGTCCCTTTGAAGCGCATGACTTCAATATCCAGAAAGGGTAGTCGTTCATATTCCTCCACCTCCATTGTGAATTTAATTCTGTCATCAAGTTCGTTAATTAAATTAAGGAATCCATTTAAATTTTCCTTAGAATGTGACCAAAGTGCAAAGTAGTCATCCAAGTATCGCATAAGCACTCTTGGATACAGTCGTGACTTCTCGAATTCCCTTTCTAACTTGTCCATGTTCACATTCGGCAAAATAGGTGAGAGTGGAGATCCCATCGGTAGACCAAATATTTGATCGTATATACTGT